CTATGATTTTTGGAGTCCAGAGTCCTTTGGATATAAGCATTTCTGCCATCTCACGCTCTACATAAATAAAACTTCCTTCAGTAGTTTCTCTGAACATCAGATTCGATTCATCGGGAAATGGTCCTTCGCTGTACCCTGTGCCAACACATTGGAATGTTGATGTGGTTGGCATTGGGGCGATTAACAAAGAGTTTCAAACCCCATATTCTTTAATTCTTTGTTTCAAAGAACTCCAATCAAGTTCTGGGAATGGATCACTATCACACATATCATACTGTAAGATACCCTTTGATAAGGATGAACCTTCATAGTTATCATACAGACCATGCTCGCGTGCTAGGTTGCATGATTCATTCAATGCAGCATAGTACATATTTGCAAATATTTTCTTGTTGAGTTCACGTGCTTTTTCATCTTCCCATGAGTACCTGAGTTTTTTATACAATGTGCCAATCCAATGACACCCACTGCAATAGGTTGATCACTCTTATTCACTATTTCACACTCTGACAATGGGTAAGATGTTAGATCGATTGATCGATCACATGAGTTTACAAGCAGTCTAACAAAATGTTGTAACTCGGTGAAATCGAATTCATTTTCTGAAGAAATATGGTTAGGTAAAATGACAGCACGAAGGTTACAAATGGATATACTTTCTGTATATTCGACAATCTCTGTGCATAGGTTTGGTGTCATGATTGGTCCAATGTTACTTTAGTTGGATTTTTTATTAGTATTATCGATAAAGAACAAAAACGGTTCACTAGTATTATATTGCATTTTGATTATATCAAAAAATAACTTCCGTGCTTTGATCGTTTTCTTGTGTTTTAACTCTACCTCACAACGAATATATGCATCATTGAATTTCTGACCATATAATCCGTTTAGGTCATATCCTAGTGATATCTTTGCATCCATGGGTGAAAAGATAGTCCAATAATCATCATCTCGAACACGTACCATAAATATATCTGGAATGGCAATACAGTGATTCAGATCTATTGTACGTAACTCTGGTACCTGTGACTCATGGCGGATTCATAAAAACGCTTCTACATAAGGTGCCAAATCGCTAGATTTACCATAATTGCTCCCTTGTGTTTGTTACCTCCCTGGTCAACATACTTGGCCATTTCATTATAAATACGAAGCATTCTACATACACCAGAAGAATATCCACTAGATCCTTTAATATAATCACCATTTGCACGGATGTCACTAACGTTGATTCCAATCCTACCACAATTCTTTGATATCAGGGCGATATCTTTTAAACTTTCATATATTCCTTCAATTGAATCTCCTTTTATTCTTGCAATAAAACAACTAGCAAGTGGATTGTTTTCCATGCAAGAGTTTGCACGTGTAGGCGTGGCTATGCTTATCTTGTTAGAGACCATCATACGATAACATTCTTTTAACTTTATGAAATCATCAAAGTATATTTGCAAGGTGATCCGTAATAACTCATATTGTACACAGTCAATCTCCCTGTTTCCTATTTTCTTGAAAAACTTTTCCCGGTTTCGTA